ATTGTTAAGTGTCTCCTCCAATCACGTTGTTTTGTCGTCTCCGCCGATACTGTTTAATGTCTTCTCCAATCACGTCGATTTGTCGTCTCCGCCTTTACTGTTTAAGTGTCTCCTCCAATTACGTTATTTTGTCGTCTCCGCCTATTCTGTTTAAGTGTCTCCTCCAATCACGTTGTTTTGTCGTCTCCGTCTATACTGTTTAAGTGTCTCCTCCAATCACGTTTTTTTGTCGTCTCCGCCTATACTGTTTAAGTGTCTCCTCCAATCACGTTTTTTTGTCGTCTCCGCCTATACTGTTTACATGTTTCCTCCAATCGCTTTGTTTTGTCGTCTCCGCCTATTCTGTTTAAGTGTCTCCTCCAATTACGTTGTTTTGTCGTCTCCGCCTGTACTGTTTAAGGGTCTCCTCCAATCACGTTGTTTTGTCGTCTCCGCCTATACTGTTTACATGTTTCCTCCAATCACTTTGTTTTGTCGTCTCCGCCTATTCTGTTTAAGTGTCTCCTCCAATCACGTTGTTTTGTCGTCTCCGCCTATACTGTTTAAATGTCTCCTCCAATCACGTTGTTTTGTCGTCTCCGCCTATTCTGTTTAAGTGTCTCCTCCAATCACGTTGTTTTGTCGTCTCCGCCTATACTGTTTAAGTGTCTCCTCCAATCACGTTGTTTTGTCGTCTCCGTCTATACTGTTTAAGTGTCTCCTCCAATCACGTTGTTTTGTCGTCTCCGCCTATACTGTTTAAGTGTCTCCTCCAATCACGTTGTTTTGTCGTCTCCGCCTATACTGTTTAAGTGTCTCCTCCAATCACGTTGTTTTGTCGTCTCCGCCTATACTGTTAAGTGTTTCCTCCAATCACGTTGTTTTGTCGTCTCCGCCTATACTGTTAAGTGTCTCCTCCAATCACGTTGTTTTGTCGTTTCCGCCTATACTATTTCGGTGTATCCTCCAATCACGTTGTTTTTTCGTCTCCGCCTGTACTGTTAAGTGTCTCCTCCAATCACGTTATTTTGTCGTCTCCGCCTGTACTGTTAAGTGTCTCCTACAATCACGTTGTTTTGTCGTTTCCGCCTATACTATTTCGGTGTCTCCTCCAATCACGTTGTTTTGTCGTCTCCGCCTGTACTGTTAAGTGTCTCCTCCAATCACGTTGTTTTGTCGTTTCCGCCTATACTATTTCGGTGTATCCTCCAATCACGTTGTTTTTTCGTCTCCGCCTGTACTGTTAAGTGTCTCCTCCAATCACGTTGTTTTGTCGTCTCCGCCTGTACTGTTAAGTGTCTCCTCCAATCACGTTGTTTTGTCGTTTCCGCCTATACTATTTCGGTGTATCCTCCAATCACGTTGTTTTTTCGTCTCCGCCTGTACTGTTAAGTGTCTCCTCCAATCACGTTGTTTTGTCGTCTCCGCCTATACTGTTAAATGTCTCCTCCAATCACGTTGTTTTGTCGTTTCCGCCTATACTGTTTAAGTGTCTCCTCCAATCACGTTATTTTGTCGTCTCCGCCTATACTGTTAAGTGTCTCCTCCAATCATGCTGTTTCGTTGTCTCCTTGATTTCTCCTGTTTTGTTGTTCCGTTGGTTTCTGTTATTTTTGTCAATTCGGTTTCTGTTATTTTCGTGTTTCCGTGGTTGCTGTGGTTTCGGTGTCTCCTTAATACCGTTATCTATTTTACTTAACAAGGCAATGAACTTGATTAATTGAACCGTGGGAAATGGAGCACTATACAAGGATCGTATTGTACAATGTGATGTATATTTAAACATGACGAGGATCTTTTACTGAAATGTAGAAACACGTAAAATAGCCAGAGAGTTAATTGGACGCTGGAGTTTTATCTCCGATCGAATGAGTAAAACTCTGGACACGTGCCACATGCATTAGTCTAATTGCAGCCGACATTTTCATGGTATATATCCACTTGTGAACGAATTGTAAATTTCAGTGAAGTGGCTTGATAATACTCAACGAAAATATAAATCTACGATGGCCGACAAGAGCCTGACAAAAAGATATGAACTTTCATACCATGATACACTTTGATATGGTACACAAAGATATGAAAATTTAAATATTTGTGTACCATGTAAAAGTGCACCATGGTACATAAAGATTATAAACAACTTTACAAAAACACTCTTTACTTCCACATGTATTTGTACCAACAGCCGATATCAGCCGGCACAAAGATATGAAAGCTTCTCTCCTTTTAGTACCGCGTTACACTTTTTTCATTTCTTTTTGTACCACCTACGGTACAAATAGATATGAAAAAAGTGTACCACCAGAGCATCGGAAGGTTGTTATCGGACACTATGACCAGAACTGACCTCGAATAGTGAAGCCCTAATTACAACGTCGAAACAAGCCGAGAAGTTCATTAATCACTTCTGATGAAAAACAGAGTTAGTTGCAATTGTGTAAGTATAGGGGCCTTGACAGGGTCTCCAAAAGGGTTAAAGGACATCTGAATATATTTTGTCATTTCCCTTGTTTTGATAGATGTCCAGATTAAAAAAGAATCGTACAACTAGCTCATCGTATTTCCCCCCACATATATAAAAAGTAGACTATCCTTCGAAGTAATTAAATTGATTGTCCCCTTGTCCCCTACGGATCCCGTCGGCGTTTTCAACTGATTTGGAATTTCTTTCATTTGAGAAGTTGAAGCAGATAGAATACATTAGAAATGTAAGTATTAGAATAATAATCCATAATGACTTCCTTTTTAACATAAAACATTTATAAAATTCGGTAAAGGATATTTATTGAATAGTTGATTTCAATTTAAATATGTAAGTAATAGTTTGGTAGCTCATTTGGTGTAATAAAAATAACAGACATTCCGTGCGATAACATTTCATTGTATGTGATGACAGCCTTATCGGGGTGTAATTTGTCATACTTGGTAACCTTTTTGTCTGATGGTTTCACATGTTTCTGTACCATGGCTGTTTTCGGCGGTTATTTTGGTACAGAAAGATACAAAAGCAACGGGTTGATTTTATTTCTGCTTTCATATCTTTGTGTACCATGGTACACTTTTACATGGTACACAAAGATTTGAATTTTAATATCTTTGTGTACCATATAAAAGTGTACCAGGGTACAAAAATATATGAAAATTCACATCTTTTTGCCAGGCTCTTGTCGGCCATCGTATAAATCAGACATTAAATATTTACATTTGCATGGCATTATCAATATATAGCCTCTTTGAAAGCTGTGTCGTTGATGGGACTTTGATTATCATGCAGTTCGAGACACAATTCTTAGCGTATTAATACAACACTGAACGGAACTACAATATCCAATGTAAATAAACATGACGGCTGCTGAAATATCGCTGGACATTGCGAGACTTGACAATGTCATTATAAATTTATGTGCAAAATAAAAAATAATATAAAAAAACTTTTATTACAACAAAAACAAGACCAAGGTCTGCAATATCGTACCAAATGCACATCGATTGAAATCACCAATGCCGGCAGTGGAAACAATTTTAACGCTAATGCAATTTATCAGAAATATCGTCTGTTACACTGCACTGATCAACAGGGGTTCGTTACAAATTTCTGAAATACACATATTCCATAGACCTACTGACACATATGTTACAGACCTCCTGATATGAGTCACAGTACATAAACATTTCAGACATTTGTGACGCACCCCTGTGCTCCGTCGCAAGATCACTCACTTCAAACGCTATCAGTTTCACGCGTCTCGCAGCCACGGTTTCCTCAGTTGCTGACGACATGTCAAATAACGAGGCCGTTATAGAATCTACCTACTGTAGTCAGATTCCCATACAATCAAAAAATAAATTCACGTCTGGATTCTTCACAAAAACTTCCAAAAATAACTCCCTCATGGAGGGCAAGGTCGGATTTACAATGTACACTTTGTTTATCCATGAACTGTTTTTGTATGGTATTTATGATCTAATGAAACAACATAATGCGCGCTAGTTCAATACTTATATTTACGTTTTCTCTGCCTCTTATATTCTTTTTTTTAACTTTAATTTATATTTAAAATTCTTCACAAAAGAATGCTAGCGCGCATTATGTTGTTTGCTTGCAAAGCTGTGTCATTCAAATAGATCATAAATATCATACAAAAACAGTTCAATGCTTAATTAAATGTTTTAAAAGTTAATTTTCAAAACCATTTTTTATCAATATAAGCTGAAATAATTAGCTGAACATTTATTTGTTTCAAATAACTTTATGAGTGGTTCAACAGAAAACCAGGTGTAATTTGTATTTTTCCATAGAAAGTTTTTTTCTTAATTTGTTTTACTTACAACCGAACAAAAAAATTATTCATTAAAATATAAATATAAAATATAAACTTTATTAATTAACAACAATTATGAAACAAGTTTTTCAACTTGAATTAATCACTTTTGCTGGCCCGTAAGTTAGCGCGTGGGAGGTCTTAGTGTGGGAGGAAACCGGAGTACTCGGAGAAAATCCACGTGGTCGGGCAGGTGACCCCAACCTTTTCATGTCCGATCAGGGAATCGAACCCCGTCCGCCTTGGTGAAAGACAACTGCACTATCCACTGCACCATCGAACACCCCAAAAAAGTTCATTTACACTTCCGCTTTATACATAATGTACTGAAATGTCAAAGACAATTGAATTTGTTTTTAATGTGTATAATTATTTTATGAAATTATTCTGAGAACGTAGATTTTATTTGTTAATAAGCAGTATCATATGAATGCAACTACAACCAAGATATTTTAAAGTATCAAATCAGAGAAAAAAATAGTTTCGTTTCTGGAGGTATCATTATTGAACAGAAGGTTTTTTATTTATATATATTTTTTTTTTACTTATTTACTGACAATTGTCTTTTGTTGTTGTTGCTGTTGTTGATTTATTACTAGTCCTATGCCACCTAGCTAATGTCTCCCTACATGTATGTGTGTATGCTGCGTGTGGCTGGAGATGTATTGTATACGTGACAGACAGAATTAACTGATTCATTGGTGTACACTTTGACCTGTTCCAGATGTCCGCCGCCCCGTCTGTGGCGGATTTGTATGACCAGAAGACAGGCATGTATACCACAGCCGTGGGCTCCTACAGGGCGTGGTCTATTGACGTTGATCTCGGACCGCCCTGTCCCTCAACACCCGTCCCCTTGGAGGATGTTCATGTTTTAAACTACTATGACGCGCTTCAGGTAGGTCAAAATGATATAATTTCCTAAGACACGCTTCATATAGGCTATAAAGACATACACCAGCTACTATTACACAATTTTTGGTTTCAAAAATACAACGCGTAACAAGATCGTACAAAATGATCAACTACTACGACGCGCTCCTGATACATGTAGGTCATGCCATACACGTGCTACAAAGATCCCGAGCGCCGTACAACACAACAATGGCGCAAGATTCATATTGGACCATCAACCCAACAAGTAATACAGAGTATTAACGGCTCAACAATGCATGGCATTAATGCATACAAGGCAGTCTTAATAGCCTATGAACAAAAAAGATCACGTAGAGCCACGTGGTACAAAGTACATGTGGTCCAATTTGACCCACAAACTACAAAAAGTTGCACAGAGTGTTGACGGTCCACCAATACAATAAGTGCTATATATTGTTAACAACATAACAATGCCATACGGGTCGAGCGGTAGGTGTGCCAAACGTGAAATGAAAATAAAAAAGCAGTTAGATAAGCAGAACGGAAAGTTAATGACTCTTTCAGATACATGTTCAGTCGGTTCACCAGATCAATTACGGTCACTTCAAGCTGTACTGTACCCTAGGCAGGGGACACTGGAGAGACACATTGGAACTGGTCCCTTAATAGGCGTCTCCTGTGTAATTGTTACGCAATCACCTTCCGGCATTTTATCACGTGGTACATGTATACCAAAGTACAGTGTGCCAGGTTCCCTGTAATGACAACATCTATCGATGATTTTGTATTGCAAGATTAAACGTTACGCTATAAGTTGATTGCAAATGTTTTTACTATCATCTTCAATAAGATTCATCAGTTTGAAAATATGTAATATCAAAATTTTACTTTCATAAACAATGTACGTATTAAACGTGTCATAACAAAGGGACCAGTCGGTCTTGAAACGCGGCGACAGTTAATACGTAATTCGTTGTGTAGAAACTACAACTTTGATATTTTCGCTACCATGGTAACAACCAATATGTTATTGTATAAACACGTGTTTCTTCGTCTTGCAGTATTCCTTATACGAGAACAATTTTCCGGAAACGGTCGACAGGACCGACACACCGCGGAGAGAATTCAAGAGCGATGACGTCACCATCGCCTTGCTATCGTCACCAGTAGAATGCTTTGCAATTTTACTGGCAGGAGGGCAAATATGCCCACGTGATATGCTGCTTGTGATGTCATCATCATGGGTGACAAAGGTCAGGTCTACGAAAAATCCAGAATTGTTTTCTCTTTACGTCCATAAGGCGATAACCATGGACGTTGCAGGACAATCGTTCCTGGACACGTTCAATCCACCTCGTCGGGTAACGTATTTCCTAAATTACTTCACGCGCGCGTGCACGGATGGTCAAAGATCAGATGGGGAGACGCTTGAGTCCGGTCTAGACTGCCCAATGTCCAGTTCTCTTAATTTGGTCAAAAACGTGGACGACAAAGTGTGGACTCGGACACTATTGGCCAACGTCGATGCTGACTACCCAGAAACGCTAGCCTTCACCTACAAATGTCGAATGAATTATGACGTAGCTTCCGGATCGGATATTACTGTCATCAAGCTAGACACAAAAACCGGAACGTCGAACCAGATACACGAACAGGTTCAGAGATTTCTTAACACGGCAAATGTTCTACTGAGACATAAGGTAAGTTTAACGGGAATTTACGAAAGCATTTTTATTATAGTGCCACCTGGTGTTTTAGATAATGATGCTTTCGTTAAACTGCTTTTAGACATATAATATGATCCTTCGTAAACAAAGTGCATTCCTTAAGATAAAGCTTGGCAAACTAGACTAATAAAATATATTACGTGTAAATGAGCGAGAGCGGGTTATCTCAGTCGAGGGCTACGATTCTGAAACACAATCCCAACCGATGCGTAAACCGAGGTTGGGATGTTACAGAATATTAGCCCGAGACTGAGATAACCCGATCTTGCTCAGTTACAGGTAACTTATTATGTTTCTTGCACTTTTTATTTCGATTTTTATTCAATTTTGCTTAAGACTACAGATATCTCGCCTGTGGTCTCAGAAAAAAGCCTCTTCACTACTAAAGCTATATTTAAACGCTTGCTAAAAATGTAGTCCGTCCTTAAAAGAAAGACATAACTTATAAAGATATATAGATTATTACTTATCGACACTTCATATATATAAAAACCTCAAAACAATACATATAATGACAAAACAGAATATTTATAATTCAGATTGCCAATGTCTATCTATTAACGCGCGGATGAATACATCGTGTAAAATTTCCGCAAAATGTCACGTAAAGTTACCACACAGAACCTACGAGATAAACAAAATTCTAGCATGGGTTATGGTGTGGGATATCTCTCTGTCTGAGGTGCGAGAAACGGCCGTGAAATACATTGCTTAAGGAGAACTGAATATATACAGTACTATTCTTTGTACAAAATAAGATATCGCAAATCCGCACAGCTTTAAGAAATCGTATAGAACATTGACAGATATTCCTTGTTTTACAGGTTCGAGTTTTCAATGCACTATTTAAACATTGTGCTGAAACTGGAATGTACTAAATGACGTCATGTTAGCTGCTATAAGACAAAAACGCTGAATGGCAAACCCCAATTTCACATGTAAAGTTGTCGACATCAAAATACAAACTAGCTTTACATGTATTATCTCAGCATCGGTTGAAATACTTTCATTGATAACATCATTTTTTTTGATATTTTACAAAATCTGAATCACATAAAACATTTTTATTTTTATTTTAGTGCGAATATGTATTTGCAATTATATAGAATTTCTTCTACGTGAAACATATTTAAGATGTTCTCCTTTTCGCGCGGCTTTGCTGAGAGAAGTACAGATTTTCAGACCAGTTTGATAAATATAAACACGAGTTCAAATAGTTTTATCACATACACAGTCATAGTTTCAATATTCTGAAAACAGCCTTTCCTTCTACCATGTCAGGTCTCCAGCGTCACCTTTATTGTCGTAATTATGACGTCATTATTGAACCTCCTGTATTAGCGCGGTTAAAAAAGCAAAATTCCACTATAGATGCATATAAAATATAATACAAACATATATAGTTCATTCGTTCATTCTTTATTACCTTAAACTTTGCGGTTTATCTGTACAGTGAATATATACAGTGCAAATTTTGCATACAAAATTAAGAAACCGTTCTAGTACGTTGAAAAGTGACCTGTTTCGTGTTAACCTTATTGATTACCAACGTTGTATATGTGGCTTCCCTATTGAAGACACACACCATTTCTTTTTTACCTGTGATAAATATAACGAACAAAGAATTAAGCTTGATCGTGAACTGAATGAATACATGCCTCTTAATTTAAATCTACTTTTATTTGGAGATACATCTCTTTCGGAACAGGAAAACATAACGATATGCATGCATACTCAGCAATACATTCGTGCCTCTAACAGATTCTAGT